GTTGAATAGAATTAGTAAAAGCAGGCATTGTTGTTATAGTTTTGGTCTTATGGGAAAAACGTTCACTTTATCACCACTGAGGATGACATTAGCTATAAGTTGTTCATAAGTGCTCTTGATCACATCAAGGAAGTCTTCCATCCCTAATCTACTGCGTGTTTTTGATTGTGAAAGAGTGTTGAGTTTGACCAAATCTTCTGCATCTATTGATTGATTCGGTGTGTGTGTGTCCCTTGTTCTGTTTATAAGGGTGACTTCTGTGAGCTGCTGTAACGTTGGCCCCTATTTATGGAAACTGCATGCCCAATGGGAAGACATGCGGTAGGGTCCTGCACCGCCCCCATGGAGTAATTGTTGACCCGAAAATCGCTATAATTATAACCTAAAAGTCCAACCCCCAAATGCACTGTGATTGAATCCTTCCTGACGCAGGGTGACTCGGTGGGACTGGATAGCACTGTCCTGGTGGGTTTCCAAGAATGTAACTCTTTACGGAAGTAGAAAGCCGCATCTTTTCCCAAGGAGCAGCTGACGGTTTGGAATTCTAACCTTGAGGTTAGCCGCTCAGCACTTAACCACTGCGCCCCCAGGCCTCCACCATTGTAACATCACTATCCCGTGAAATGGATGGGGTAGTATACAGCCCCTAAACTCATGGTCACAAGTCGGTGCCAGGTTTCTATTAAGAATTGCTTAGCTGACACAGGTGGAAAAGAAAAGGTGTGCAATTATGTGAGTCTGATCCCAACCATATGGGAAAAAACGTCTACTTTGAAAAAGAGAACTGGAAGGAAGTTACCCCAAATATTGATCATGAATGTTTGGGGGATGGGATGAGGAATGATTTTTCCCCCCCTTCCTTTCATGTGCCACGTTTGAGAGAGACCATCTAGTCCTCTCATGTTTAAAAATGAAGCTTTTTGCGATTTACTCCTAAATCTCCTCTCAGAAAGAGTCACAGAACTCTCTTTTATTAGACATGAAATTTCCCGTGCATGAGTTCATTTCCTCTACTCGAGGAACTGAAAGATGCTCAGCCAGGGTTTAGGCAAGCTCACACCGTGGGCTGACATCCACATGGTTCCCCTCGGGTCCAGTGGCTGTGTAGAAGACGTAGAGGACCATAGCAACATTCTGAGCTACAAAGCTATATTGACCATCCCAAAGGAATGAAGCGCCTTTTATTTGGAGGCGAGCAAGAAAGTCTTAAGGATTCTAAGAACACCACAAAGCAGCAGACAGGAAAGAATCAACGATGAAACAGAATAGACGGAGGATGCTCAGAGGACAGCGTTAGGACACGAACACCACCCTGACATGGGTGCCAGGCTTGGCTGTCGCTGGTTGAGGGTCCATTTCCTTCCTGGGAACCTGCAGTGGGTGGGCTGCCTGCCTGCCTGCCTCCGCCAGCTTCCTTCAAGAGCAACAAGTGGCGGCCATTCAAGCACAACAGTTTTCCACTGTGCAAATGACATAGGCCAAGCAGGGCTCACGGGTGCTGCGGGGCTCGCAGACGCTGCTGGATGTGCACGTGGTGGGACCTGGGTGGCAAGGAATTCTGGGGGAAAAGAATTAGAAACAAAGCTGAACAAAGAAAAGCTTTGAGAACATGTCAGCTGGGAAAGTGCAGGCTAACATTCGTCTTCCGAATGATACTCTTAAGAACACGAAGGATGACAACCTCTAAGCCACTTTTCTTCCTGGACCCACTGGGAACAGGTCCCGCGTGCTCACAGCAAAGATGCTGCGTGAACACCACGTCCAGTGTCCGTCTTCATTGGTCAAGGCTGTACTAGTCGGGTGGCTGATTTTTCTTCGGCGCAAAATCAGAGCGAAGAGAAACTTGTAGAACGAAATGTTAGGTGGGACACTTGCTCTGCATTAGAACTTTAGAATCTCTCGGGACATTTCTGCCATCCTGGGTGTGTTAACCTTAGCCATTTCCCCCAGCAGATTGCTTCTAAGAAGAGAGGCTAGACCGTGGGCAGAACCTGGGGACCGCGGGCTTCTCTGACATTCACTAGCGCCACACTTTCCCCTTCTTTGTGATTTGCAGGATTTTACCACCCCGTGTGGCACTTACCTGCGATCCTCCTTCTCCAGCAGGCCCCGGTACGTGCTGATCTCACCCTCCAGCCTGGCTTTTGTGTCCAGCAGCACCTCATACTCCTGGTTCTGCCGCTCCAGGTCACAGCGGATCGTGGCCAGCTGGCCCTCCACATTATCGATCAGACACTGCATCTGGGCCAGCTGGGAGCTGTACTGGGCCTCAGTCTCTGCCACAGTGCATGCCAGAGAGTCTGTCTGTCGGAGACCGAAAAGGAATTCAGAAGGCTGCAGGACAACCTTCCGGACTGCAGTCTGTGCTCACGTCCTGGCTCAGCTCTTTCCAAGCGATATGGCTTTGGGAAAGTGACTCAGCTCTCCCAGCCTCACTTGGAAACAAAACAAAGCAGAGTGTTGATGTGCAGTTCACGGACCATGCCATTCGATGGTCTCACTATATTAAAAAGAGTTGCGCACCCACAGTTTTAGAACATGTGCTTCCTTCTTGTATTCATTATTATAAGCTCCCCATTTCCCCCCACCTACCCTGCCATAATGCCCTAAGAAACGATTAAGCTAGTTTTTATAGATTTACCTGGGTTTCATAAGAAAACAACAACAACAAAATAAAACAGAAAATCCTCACTTCAAAGGGAAGCAGAAGGAGCCCTGGTAGCATGGTGACTACATCTTGGGCTGCTACCCATGAGACTAGCAGTTTGAAAACCACTATACTCTGTGGGAGAAAGATGAGGCCTTCTACTCCTGGAAAGAGTTACAGTTTGGGAAACTCATGGAGGCAGTCCTACCCTGTCCTACAGGGTCACAACGAGTCAGAATTAACTCGACGGCAGTGTTTGTTTTTGTTAGAACAAGTTAAAATATGGGTCAAAAGGGAAAACAAATAGTACAGTGCTAAATTTTCACCGAACTCTATCTGCAGCCATCTGCTTTCCAAAGTACACTGTCTGAGGAAAAGATTACTCACATCCCTGGTTGATGGACCAAGGGAATTTAATGAGGGTATAAACCTCATTCTAATCATATGCAAAATGGGGATACAAGGCATGTCTCCCATAGGATGATTGTGAGAGTTCAATAAATGAAATTTATATAAAACTCTTAGAACAGTTAAACTGTTGCTACCACCGCTATAATGACCGCAACCCGCCACGTGGTTCTGTAGCTTTAAGAGGACAAGGTTATGGATTCCTGGGGGAGAGTGGCAGTGTATCATATCATGGTCAACAAAAGAGGCCCTTGGGTCAAACCACTTGGGCTCAACTCTAACTTTTGCCTCTTAGAGCTGTAGGACCCCAACCGCCTGCGCCTGTTCTCTGATCTGTAAAATAGAGTTAGTAAAAGCCTTGACCCCACAAGGTTATTGTGAGGACTAAACTAGTCTCGGGCCCTGCCCAGGATGAAGGTACAGCGATGGCTCCCCTAATTCCTCTCCACAGCACTGACATGTCCCACACAGGGGCGCTGCCTGGAGCTGGCGGGTGTAGCTCCCTGCATGTATGGCATCCTTGTGGTTGGCGGGACTGCGGCAAAGGCTCCGACTGAGGGGTGCACGGTCCTGGGAGCGTTAGCCTCCCTGTAGGAATGAAGGGACGCTGGTGAGTCTGGGACTTTTGCCTGAACCCAGAGTGTTTCATTGCCAGGCGGAGAGCCTTGGAGACAGGGCTCGACCCCTCTTGGTTTGGGGCAGGTGCTGTGGGATTGTGCTCAAGTGCAGGGGGGAAGAGGTCAGGGCACCTGCTGAGGCAAGACGAGCTGCTGACCTGTTCCTCCTGCCTTTCACTCACTCACTGCCACCGAGTCCATTCTGAGTCACAGAGACCTAGAGGGCAGGTTCGAACGGCCCCTGTGGGTTTCCGAGGCCGATACTCTGTAAAGGAGGAGAAAGTCTCTTCGTTCTCTGGAGGAGTGACTGGTGGGTTTGAACGGCCCACCTTGTGGTTAGCAGTTCGTTGGGTCACCCAAGCAGGGCTCGGGAAGGGCCAGGCCATGGGAGCCCTGTGAATGGACATTCGGCCCTCTGTCCCACAGGAGAAGAGAGCATCTCGGGGTGTGTCCCACAAAACAGCTGTCTTCCTTACGCACCAAGTTTCGCTGCGCGTGGAGCTCGATCTCCAGGGCGTTGGCGGTGCGCTTCAGTTCCAAGAGCTCCGGCTGGCAGCCCTGCAGCTGCTCCGAGCTGCACGGCTGCTGCTGGCTCAGCTCCTCCGTCTGAAACACAGGCTCGGTTAGAGAGCACGGAGCAGACCCACATCTGGCAGCTGCTGTGGACGTGGCCCCAGGGGCTCACCTGGGCCGCAAACCACTCCTCCACGGCTCGGCGGTTGTTGGCGAGAACCGTCTCGTACTGCCCACGCATCTCATCCAAGACCCTGTTGAGGTCGACCGGGGGCGTCGTTTGGAGCTCCACGCTGAGTTGGTCACCAAGCTGCCCACGAAGCACGTTGACCTCCTGAAAGTGGAAACGGGGTATGATGACTCAAAGTGGGGGTGCGGGTGGGGCATGGGGCAATCACCTGGCAGGATTTTACCCCAATGGCATCCTATTACTGTAGATTTCCAAACAGTCGTTAGAAGTGTGGATTTAGGGCAACGAATGTGCTTTATGCAATTGATATATGTGTGGATTGTGATAAGAGTTGTATGAGCCCCTAATAAAATGATTAAAAAACAAACAAACAAACAGAAGTGTGGATTTAGATTCAGGTGGTCTGAATTTCATCACTTTACAAGTGCCTCAATATTTTCAACCTGAGAAATGAATATCATAATAGTCTCTTTTCTAGAGGCATTTTAATAGGAGGATTTATATATGTAGAAGAACTATACACACACACACACACACACAAATATACTGCTTAAAGAAGACTTGGCACCTAATAAGCTCTCACTGAATGTTAACTATTATTATTATCATCATCACCATTTGTTCAAAGAAAAAAAAAATTCTTTCTTATATCATTCAACATTTCCTTTTCAGCCTCATTGTAGGCGATCGCGCATTTCATGTTTGATCATTGGGGGTATAGAGAATTTAGAGTCATGTAGAACTAGGACATGGATAGCCCTTTTTGACGTGGACTCTGTAGTCAGTGCTTCTCCATCCGATTGTCATTTCTTTTGGATTGAAATTAGGGGTGACAGAGAGCCTCCAAGGAATGCCATTTGTGGGGTCTCTCAGCTTCAGCTTCTCCATAAAGACAATGGCAAATGAGGAGTCTGGCGCTTTCCCAGGATGGCCACAGGGCCTGCAGCAGTGGGCTCCAGCATAGGACCCTCTGTGAGGAGGGTGCAGGACCCGGCAGTGTTTTGCTCGGCTGAGCATGAGGTCGCTATGAGTCCTAACAGACGGGAGGGCACCTCACAACCACAGTGGTTTCACATCTACAGCCAAAGGCACGCTACTCTGATCAGACTGGGCAGCTACCAGGAGCGCCTGGAGTCATTTGGTCCCGCCTCCCGCAAGTTCACTTTCTGTACTTCAGCACGACAACCATCCGTTTGGCGCCGTCCCTCTTAGAGCCCTCCTGGGATTTTTGTCAGCCTCCTCACCTCCTCGTGACTTTTCTTCAGGCAGAGGAGATCCTGCTTCAGAGACTCCATGTGGGCCTCCAGGTCGGCCTTGCACAGGGTCAGCTCGTCCAGGATCCTGCGCAGGCCGCTGATGTCGGCCTCTGCCAGCTGCCGCAGGGACAGCTCCGTCTCGTACCTGCACAGAACAAGAGAGAGCTGCCCGATGCTCACGTTGTGATGCCTGGGGCAAAGTCCTGGGGGTGCACCGAGGGATCAACATAGACTTGGGTCACGCATCATCGTTTCTGTTTTCACATCCCAGGTAGGTGTAAAATCGAGTGTTATGAAAAAGATTAGCTTAAAAACAGACACAAATAGACATGATCTGTGCCGAGGGTGTTTATGAGAGAGAAAAAATTGAATGAGAACGAGAGAGAGAAGCTGAGCCACAAATTACTTTCAAGGGAAAATTGGACTTACTTGGACCTGAAATCATCGGCAGCCAGTTTGCAGTTGTCCAGCTGCACAGCCAGTCTGGAACTCTCTGCCTTCGTGCACAGGATCTGGAAAAGCAAGTTATGAATGATTCTTGGGAAGAAGCTGACGCGACTATTCATTCACTAGCTACGTATCTAGTTATCCTTTGAAATATGAGGCTCAAGATAGGCAATAGCTTTGATCCTGCCTTTTTGATTAAATATACCATGTGTGAGGGAAAAATAAAGTCAATTTAACAACAAAGCAGAGAAAGGAGAATGGCTATTTTTAGGGACTCCAAAGACATTTTACCACGTTGCCTGTTGGTTGCATGCAGTCGAATCTTTCTCGAGAAGCAGTTTGGGTTAGGACTGGCTAGATCCCCCAGGGGGAACAGTGGACATTCATCAGTACAAGAAGCCCATGGTTACGAGGTGAAGTTAGATGGTTAGAAAGATGGCATTTTACTTTCAGGGTTGAAAATGATCCGTACAGTGTTACATAAGAAGTGATTTTAGATGCAAAGCAGTTTTCCATCATTTCATAAATGATGAAGGTATAATCTAAAGGGAAATGACTTTATTAGGGACACAATTAATAAGCGGTTGCACCGGCCTCATACTGATACTTCCTGTTACTCTAGTGCTCTTTCCACGACTTCCCGGGTCCCTCATTCTCCTTACCCCTAAAATACCGTCTTATATAAGAATCAAGCAAGTCACAGGCTGGACAAACAGACATCAGGGCAGCAGGGTGGCTGACCTTTTGTTGGAGTCCTTCGATGGTGTCAAAGTAACACTGGTAATCAGGACACACGGAGGGGATTTCCCGTCCACATTGTTCTCGAATCCTGCACTCCAGCTCCGCGTTCTCCTCTTCCAGGCCCCGCACCTTCTCCAGGTAGTTGGCCAGCCTGTCATTCAGGAACTGCATGGTCTCCTTCTCATGGCTGTTGAATGCCCCCTCCTCACACCAAGCACAGTTCCCCACCACGTAAGGCATCGGACAACTCCTGGCCAAGTAGCACGGTGTCAGGCAGCCAGTCGACGAGGGAGGTCTGGCTGGGAAGCTGGGGGTGTGGCACCGAGATGTAGCACTGGCCTTAGGGAGACCAGCCGTTTCCACGGAACAAGTCGACACAGAAGGACCCTCAGAAGGCCGCGCCCCAGACTCAGAAGAGCAGCTGGCGGGAGAAGAATCTGAAGCCATCCTACTGGAGCTGAAGGTCCGAGATGCACTGCTGAACTTGTTGCCTGACTGCAAAAGTCTTCTCCCCCCTGAGACTTTTATATAGCCCCCCCAAATGGGCCCTTGCAGACTCCTCCGGATGTTTTCTTTCCCTGTGTGGGTGCCAAGAACACTTCATTAGTCCTGCTTATTTGTGGAGGAGGAGTTTTTATGCCTCATAAAAGCGGGATAACTTCAGGTTACTGAATCAGGACTGACACCACGTCCATGTAGGGGGAGGAGAAGATCCCTGCTTCTGAAAAATCTGCACGGCAGCCATAGGCCTTTTGACAGAGTATGGGCAGAATGACAACATGTGACCAGTCCGTGTGACAAGTATAATTGATTACAAAGGGGGGGGGGAACCCCCCAATAGTTGTCCACATTTGGATCATGTGCAATTAAAATGGTATCTCCTGGTAAAATATTTTTAAAGAGAATTATTTATTAAAAAGATCTAATGTTATAAGAACAGTACACAGAACTATTATCTGACTGTGCCTTCCACATGGTATTTACCATTATATAAAGTATATATACAGATTGTATGCAATATATTTAACAGTTTGACATGGGTCCACAGTACCTTAATTTTGGTATGAAAAACATTTGCTCATGAAACATCTAATTATGAGGAATATATTCCTCTCCTGGTAAATTAATATTGGAACTCATTCAAGGATATTTATTTGTTTATGCCATCGCCATAAAAGTGTTCAGTGTGATTATCAATGTTTACCATGGAAAAGAGGGAGGCATGCACCTGGTGGGAAGCATGTGTGGATGCACACCTGTGCTTACGTGTGAACCTATCTCTCTGGGTGCAGATTGAAAGATCCCATGGTGTAACCTTGGGGTATAATTTGTGCCGTCGAGGCTAACATACGAGGACCCCTGGTGGCAGAGGTGGTGATGACACCCTGGGCTGCTGAGGCCACCAGTTGAGACCTGTGACTGCTCCGTGGGGGGCAGGGGGGGGGCAGGCTCTGCTTCCATAGGATTGATAGCCGTGGACACCCACAGGGACAGTTCCTCCCTGTCTTATAGGGTCGCGACGAGTCCGATCTGATTTGATGGCGGTGACTTGATTGACACTCTTCATACGTCTCACGGAAAGATGGAAAGTACTTCTTGCTTGGGGCATGCTGTTGTCGCCGAGCTGTCTCTGACTCCCGGTGACCGATGTGGAACAGAAGGAAAGGGTGCAGGCCCTGGTACGTGTGTGTCCATTGAGGCTGCCATCTGCATGCTGGCCCGTCTCATTGAGGGTCCCCATGGCTGTACTGGCCTCCACTTTACCAAATAGGATGTCCTTCTCGGACGATTGCCCCCTCCTGATGAGGGCCCTGTAGATTACCCTGGTGGCACGGTGGTTATGAGGTGGGTTGCGAACCACAATGTCAGCAGTTCAAAACCCCCAGTTGCTCAGAGGGAGAAAGAGGAGGCTTTCTACTGCTGTAAAGAGTTACCATCTTGGAAACTCACAGGGCAGTTCCCCTCTGTCCTGTATGGTGGCTATGAGCCCGTATCTGCTGGATGGCAGTCAGTTGGGTTTGTTTTTCCATTATTTAGCGTGATTGGTTCCACTGTAATGATGGCTAGCCATTTCATTTTCAATGGTAACGGGGAAAATCCCCCGAAGGACATCTGAGATCCTTTGAGGAAAGAACATTAATCTGAAAAAGTTAAAACATTTTCATGATCCTGAACACAGTTCATGATTTCTAAATTATTTATAATTCACCTAATTATTTGGAAAACACCAAACAAGGGACCGCGTAGAGGATGGCTTAAACTGATCTCGCAGGATGTATTTATTACTCACTGTCCATGTTGGATTAGAGGCCTGGTGGTTCTGAGTTGTGCTGCTGACCACAAGGTCAGTAGTTCGAACCCACCCGTTCTACCACAGGAGAAAGATGAGCTCTTTGACGTTCATAATGATTGATAGAGTAGAAGACAATTCTAGTCTGTGCTGCGGGATCACTATGAGTCAGAAGGGACTCAATGGGCAGTGAGTTTGGGTTTTGTTAAAATCAACATGCATGTCTTGACAGTTTTTAGAGTGACTCATAGCATATTGATGCCATCATGCAAAGGACATGTGTTCCATGAGTCAAAACCAAATTTTAAATGACAAACATCTAAAGGGCTATGGCAAGCCCCCCACTAACCCGATGAGGGAGAGAAGAATACCTTTGAGGCGCAGCCATGTCTTGGCGGGGCGTCACAGGGTCCACCTGGTTGAGGTGCGGCAAGGTGTCATTACTTTAAAGTAGCTGCAGCTGCAATAAGACATATTTCCTTTTCTCTCGAGCGAATCTCTATTTGTCAAATCTTGATTGCTGGTGGTTGTGGATGTACACAGGAAGAACTATTTGTTGTGGTCTTGATTAATTAGTGCGGTGCTGTCGGACAACCTGGAGCGAGTTGTCACCTTAGAATATGGAATTTGTCCAGCATCTGTTTGTAGAGCATGCCATCAGCCTCAAAATAAATGAACTTCAAAGCAAGCAAGAGCCCAAACCTGCCCAAACCAGTTGCTATTGAGTGCATTCAAATGTGGGTGGCAGAGTAGAACTCAGAATGTGGGGCTCTCAAGACTGTGAACTTTGGGGAGCAGGTAGCCAGCCTCTTATTCTGAGGTATTTTTGAGTGGGGTTGATTCCCCAACCTTTCTGTTGTTGGTAGTTGAGTGTCTAACTTTGTACCCCCCAGGGACTTCCAGAGGAAAAGAGAGATGCCGGGTCACGATAAAAGGGACACAGTTCTTTCATTTTGTGACAGACTCTTACCCTAGAACAGACATGGTCTGTTACAAATATATACCGTCTCGACTCGTGTATCAGCCGAGTTCTCCAGCACATTTTTGATGCCGTTTTTGTGGTAAAATTGGGTGCTTCGGCTGATAGTCGGGTCGGCTTAGACTCGAGTATGTACGGTAAATCCAGGTTTGTGACTCTTCGCTCCAAGCTTGCCATTGATGATGCTCCTCAACCTGGTGCCCATTTGCTCTTCTCGGCTGCTTCCCGTCGCCCTCTCTCAGCAGCCTCGCACTCCGGCTGTCCCTCCAGACTTTGCTGTGTCCTGGTCTAAGGGTCCCCTCACCCCTCCTTCCCGGATGAACGCACACATGGAGACTTAGCAGAGACGGCATGCAACTGCTTTACGTGGAGATGAGAGCTCCTTTTATCACTGCTCGTCCACAGCCTCTCGGCTAACGGCAGCGGGGTTGGCCTCTGATCTCTGACGTCTCAAGGAGAAATGAGAATCAAACCCAACATCAGCCAAGGCCGATCTCCACCCCAAACCAAACAGATGGGCACTCTGCCTTAATTTTTAAGTGGTCTAACCGATCCCCTTGGAAGCTGCCCTTTGGGTTGGTCTTTTTACTCCGAAGGCTCCCGGTGAAACCCAGGCAGGTCCACTGCTGGGGAGCTGCTCTCGGGCCGTGCGCAGATGGCAGAGGCCTGCTCCAACATGCTTGACTTGGAATAAACCCGCGCATGTGCGAACTGGAACCGCAGTAGCAATCCTTCTTAAGCTTGCTCTCACCGATCGCATCACTTTGATCCATGGACAAGCATCGTCCTATTGAGTCTCCGCGTCAGAGCACCTTTTCCCCAACTTACCTTGCACCCTGTTTGGGGAGGACGAGTTAGCAAAATGTCCACTTCCGTATGTGCCAAAACACGGAACCGGCTTCTATGCTGGGCCGTTTCATGTTTCTTTCTTAACAGCAAGAACAAGAAATATTTGCATCTCCTGCGACCACTTTCCGGTTTTTCAGGTGCTCATAGGTTTTTGTGTTCTTTTTCTTTTAATGCTGATGTTTAGAGTAAGGAAATCACCAATGAATGGACAGAGATCAACAAAAGCAATGATAGACATCTGTGTTATGCCAGAGATGTGAAATTTATTTGGATGGTCCTGTAGGCCCTCCTCATTTTCCAGAAAGACACCCAAGACTGGAAACAGAATCCCCCAAGAAAGCACCCAAGAAAGACACACATTAATAGGAAGGAACCGAACCACGGTGAGAAGTCTACAGCGTTCCACCTGTTCCAACCGCCCCTGGTTATTGATGCCAGCTACGTGGTCATTGAAAGTGTCTTAGTCCCCCCGCCCCCTTTGTTTTTTGTTGTTAGAGGATTATCAGTGACAGTGTCACCCATTGTCCATTTTCTAAAGCAAACTAAATCCGTTCCAGTTTTCGGTGAGCCTTCAGACTTCTTGGCTGGTTCTTCCACGTCGGGCACAGGCCAGAGAGCAGCCCTGGGAACTCAGCAGCCAGCTGGGAGGCAGGGGTCACAGCAGGGCTGAGTGAAGGTGGTGAGATTGAAGGTCTCCAGGCCTGGGGCTGGATGGCAGGAGTTGAGCAGGAAGCAGGTGGGCACACAGGGCTGAGGGATGTGGCAGGGTGGGGGGCAGTTGTCACAGCAGGTTGGCTCGAGCAGCCAGGTTGTGTGTGGGCAGGTGCTGGGCAGGCAGACTCCGCAGCGGCAGCACTTGTCAGAGGAGCAGATGGTGGTGGCCGGGCCGGTGGGGACGCTGCAGCAGCGGGGAGCACAGCACACCATGGTGGTGGGGATCTGTGGTTTTATTGGGTTGGTTGAAAAGAAAGAAGAGGCTTCCGATGTGCGAATGTCTCTCCTCCCTGTGGGGCTCTTATATACCCTCCCTAATGGGTGTTGGTCCAACCAGAAGGCTTCTTTCCTGGTTCTTGTTTATGTTCACGTCCTCATTATCCTTTGATTGGTTTGCCATTTAGCTGCCTGTAAAGAGTCCGTATTCTCCTAATTAACTTTTATTGGAGTTCCTTGCTAAACCTGAGCTGATTCCTCTTGCTATTTGTCACTAGAACACAGCGTTATGAGGTATCACCAAACACTTACAGTATTACCATATGTGACGATGACGATTCCAATGCCATCCCGGGTGGAGAACAGTGGGTGACAATAGGCCTGTACTATGTAGTCATC